TAACCGATATAAAACACTTTTTCTTGAAGTTACAAATGAATACAAAAAATTACCTGCTTTCTTAGTGAGGATGAGGCTAATTTAAACACATTGTAAGACTTCAGCATTATCACTATGCAAGTTCAACAAGAAATTTACCCTGCAAATAAAACAAAACGATAAAAACAACAGAAAGTATGCACAGTACATTTTTTCACGTTCAGCAACGTGTAGACCCCAGTATATCTACATATATATGTATATTACAGCAAAACACGGTATCACAATAAGTCGCTTGATTGTCTTCTTGTCCTCACCTCATCCTTCCTCTCTTGTTATACCTCAATAATTTAGTTTGTCATTTAGGTTAACACAAACTGTGTCAAAAGCGTATCATGAAACAAATGTAAGTACAATGCTTACATTTTTTGAGATCAGCAAATGTATGGTGATTTAAAAGGTGAAGAAATATGACAAAAAATGCATGAAAAAAGCAGTTTTCTGCTGAAGAAGAGCCGCATACTTGTGCTAAATTCACTTCAGCACTTGTTGCATAACGATAAAAAAAAAAAGTACAACAGACATCACAGTTGCCATGTGACAACAGTGACGTTGCAGGGGAAGTTCGCGTATAGAAACCGTTTATATCGGAGAATACTGGATTTACCGGCGACGGTTAATTGCATGACGACATCTGCATCCTTGTAAAGCACACAAGTCTAAGAAACTGATCAAAACAAATTGTTAAGAAGAAAAAAATTTACAAGAAAAATATTTATTTAACCTATATTATGTGAATCTAATTCAAAATACGGTAACATTTTCGCTGTAAACATTCAATTCAAAAAATTCTTTAGTTACAGCTGTTTGTCGACAGCTGCTATTTTATTTAAGCCTGCAGCAACAATATGATGCGTATGGTATGGATACATCTGAATCTACAAACAGTTACTTATCTTTGTCACTTAATGGCTGGAACAATTTGTTGATGTTATCATGAATTCTACAATATTTGTTGTTTTTGTTGCTGCTGTTACCTTTCAATCAAATTTCAGTTCTTATCTGACAAATGCTTTTTTCCTTTAATTTCTCAAGAAATAATTAACTCTTGATTACCGATGAATAAGTTAATGCAAGAAAAGAAGAAAAGTACTTGTCCTGATCTATTTTTTTATTTCTTATTAGATTTCAGCTGAGAATTTTTTGTATAAATATTTGATGGCAAATTTTTTGTTGTTTTTGTTGTTGCTACTGCTGTTACAGTAACTTGTTTTTTCTTTTATTATTGTGGTGAATTGACAACAGACAGAAAGAATGATAAGAAAGAAAAGAAAGCTTTTTTTTTTTTCTTTTTTGAAATATTTTATGTATGAATTTT